AGAGAAACAGACAGCAAACTCCCATTCCTTCCTAGCACTGATGATGTGACCTAGATTAAAACGTCTGCAAGACAACAAGCAGCCTCAGAGAGCAACAAAGACCACCCCGCTCCCGGCTCAATCCCGGCTGATCGACCAAGCCAAACTCGATCAGTCCAGGCCTGGATGGGAGACCACCAGGAAATCCAAGCTCGTCGAAAACCTCTGTCCCAGCGCTTAGGAAACAACAAGGACGAGCCCTTGGAGCCCCCTCCTCCCCCGGGAAGGCAAAGGACGAAAGGGATTTGACTCTCGCCTGCCCGATCCCGCCTCCTTTCGGGTGGACCCCGCTTTTTCCTGGAGAAGCAGAGCAAAACCCGGAGCTCCCCAAGGGGGAAAAATGGGAAGAGACAACCCGAAAACAACATGGACGCGCGTCCACGGAGTCCATCCCCCCCGCCCCGCTTCCCCGGAGCTCTGCCTCGCCTCTCCGCTTTGCAAAACCGGCCCAGGGACGCTGACCTTCCCCGTTCCCGTCTGCAGTTCACCCGCCCGGTGGGGGTCTTCCTCTCGGCTCTCCACGCGTTGACTTTCCCTCGCCGCTGCCGAGCGGGCGGGCGAGAAGAGGACGGTCCACCCGCAATCGCCGCCAAGCCGTGGACTGACTGTACCGTCCACTGGGAGAATGGAGAGGGGGCGGGACAGGAAGACTCCGCGCCCCCTCCCCTTTCTAAAAGGGGCCCCGGCCGGCATTTCCTCTTCCCTCCTCTCTAGGAATGGGAGATCCGCTGCTTTAACCATTTCAGCGGGGGGAAGAGAAAGCGAGAGACGAGGATGGGGAGGAAGCGGAGGATAGAGCGACCACGGGGCAATCAGGAATTTGGGGAGGGGGTGGGCTTTGGATCTGAGCAATCAGGAATTTTGAGGGGAGGGCATGGATCTGAGCCTTGATTTTGCAGAGGTGCGGATGAAAGCCCAACAAACAGCATTGAGACTTTCAAGAGATTGGACTGCCATCTGTCAGAAATGGTGTAGGGTCAACCCGCTTGGGTAGGGGGTTGGACTAGATGACCTACAAGATCCCTTCCAACTATGATTATCTGTGAACTGGCGCCAAGTGGTATATAAGTCTAAGTGCCATCTGCCAGAAATGGTGTAGGGTCAACCCACTTGGGCAGGAGGTTGGACTAGATGACCTACAAGTCCCTCCCAACTCTGATTATCTGTGAACTGGCGCCAAATGGGAAAGCTTGAGACGGGCTTGGAGGTGGAGAATGTAACTTTCTGAAAGCACCTTAGGAAGGTGTATGATAAGCAGAGATGGATGGGCTCGCAAATCTGTGATCTGCTGAATCACTTTAAAATTTAGGGAACGTCCTCTGCAACTCCTATGATGCAGAGGTATCGTGGGCAGGTGTACATTATTGTGATATACACAGTTGTTTGCTGTCAGTTATTTATACTGCTGGTGTTGGCTTTCCTAAGCATCGTGTTTTCCCCACAAAACCTAGGATATCAGGGTAAAGTGTACAAGCAATGTGGACTTTTCCAATGATGGTAACCGATAGTAATAGCAATAGCACTTAGACTTATATATCACTTCAGCAGTGCTTTCCAGCCCTCTCTAAGCAGTTTACAAGACTCAGCTATATTGCCCCCAACAATCTGGGTCCTCATTCTACCCACCCCAAAAGGATGGAAGGCTGAGTCAACTTTGAGCCTTGTGAGATTTGAACTGTCAAATTGCAGGTAGCCAGCAGGCAGCAGAAATATCCTGCGGTACATTCTAACCACTGAGCCACCATAGCTGAAAGATGGTAACTGACAGATGGAAATGATACATTCAATGCATAGATTTTGTAGGATAAGAGTAGGAATGTGGAAAATAACCCAAGTGCTGTTTTTGCATCAGACCTAATTTAACATTTTTAAGACCACGCACTTAGAATAATACAGTGGAAGCTCTATTGAAGATCGTAATCTGTTCTGAGAATTTGCTCAAGACCTCCCAGGCATGTGATCCTGTCCACCATTAAACCATCTTTCCAAACAGCCTTCCATGTTTCCAGTGTCTTTTTCCCCACTTGGAACTGAACCCAGAAGGATATTTCTTCCAACACTATTTAAAATGGTAAGAATGCTAATCCAATCATTAGGAAACTGTGGATTGTAAAAATCCCAATCCAACCGTCAGGGGGAAGATCTCCATCCTGCCCTCTTGCAAAGAGACATATAGCAAGTCCTTCACTTATGATCACAACTGAGACCTGAATTTCCATTGCTAAGAAAGGCAATTATGTGAGTCAAGTCTGATTTCACAATCATTTTTGCCACAACTGTTAAGAAATTCACTGCAGTTGTTAAGTTAATTTGGCTTCCCCCAATAACTTTGCTTGCCAGAAGCTAGCTGGGAAGGTTGCAAATCATGATGATGTGACTCTGGGACATTACAACCATCAAATACATGCCCGTTGCCAATTCTGATCACTTTACTGTGGGGGGGTTTGCCGTAACCAGAGGTGGTATTCAGCAGGTTCTGTTACCAGTTCTGGAGAACCGGGAGCGGAAATTTTGAGTAGTTTGGAGAACTGGCAAATCCCACCTCTGACTGGCCCCGCCCCCATCTATTCCCTGCCTCCTGAGTCCCAGCTGATTGGCTGGGACATCTTTTGTTGTCCTGCACAGGAGAACGGAGCTGGAAAGCAGGTTAGTGGTGTGGGGAGAGAATGAAGATTTTCCAGTAACCTTCGTACAGGAATAGGGAGGGATGGAGATTTTGCAGTATCCCTTCCCCTGCCACGCCCAACAAGCCACACCCACAGAACCGGTAGTAAAAAAATTTGAATCCCACCACTGGCCGTAACAATCCTAAATAAGAAGACTGGTCATGAAGCTCTTTTTAAAGTGCAGTTGAAACTTTGAATGGTTGCTAAACAAATGATTATAAGATGAGGACTACCTATATTGTGGTGTTCTAAGTACCCACCAAGCCTGGTTATTTGATTGCAGGTGTTTCATTACCGAACTAGGTAAACATCATCCAGGCGAAAGTTCACTCACAGTGATGTTACCTAGTTGGATAACAAAAAAAATCTACAAGCAAGCAACCCAGCTCTGAGAGGACCTAGCATTCCACGGTTCAACCCTGAGTTACAGATATTATTTTCTATTAAAGAAATACATTTTACATTTTACTAATTATCGGCTTTGGCTATTACCGTATCCCTAATTTCAGTTACAAAATGAAATATTGTGGAGACAAAGCAAGCAGAGAGGCTTCTTTCAGTGTTTAATACTGGTAGTCCTCAACTTACGACCATAATTGAACTCAAAATTTTTGTTGCAAAGCAATACAGTTGTTAAGCGGCATCGTTGTTTCCCCCCATTTTACAGTTTTCTTGTCAGTTGTTAAATGAATCATTGCAGTGAGGTATCAGTACCTCACTTGATCTTGATTGTATCCCTCTGTTAATGCAACTTAGAAGTGAGGTACTAACACCACTCTGTAAAGCCTTAGTAAGACCACACCTAGAGTACTGAATCCAGGTTTGGTCACCACTATAAAAAAGATGTTGAGACTCTAGAAAAAGTGCAGAGAAAAGCAACCAGGATGATTAGGGGACTAGAGACTAAGGCATATGAAGAACGGTTACAGGAACTGGGCATGGCTAGTCTAGTGAAGAGAAGGACCAGGGGAGACAGAAGAACCTTCTTCCAATATTTGAGGGGCTGCCACAGAGAGGAAGGGGTCAAGCTATTTTCTACAGCGCCTGTAGGCCAGACAAGGAATAATGGATGGAAACTGAACAAGGAGAGGTTCAAGCTGGAAATAAGGAGAAACATTCTGACAGAAATTTTCTGACAATCAACCAATGGAACAGCTTGCCCTCGGAAGTTGTGGGAGCACCATCACTTGAGACTTTCAAGAAGGGACTGGACTGCCATTTGTCAGAAATGGTGTAGGGTCTCCCGCTTGGGCAGGGGGTTGGACTAGATGACCTTCAAGGTCCCTTCCAACTCTGATTATCTGTTATCTGATTGCATTAGCTTTTTTGGCTGATGCTCCACACTGCTGGCTCAGTGGCTGGTTGTCCACTAAGACTCAAAGATCCCTCTCACAAGACAAGTTAGCCCTCCTGAATTGCACCAATGCCTCGGTCTCTCTAGCAACTTGCGATCTCCATCCATTACTCGCAGCCATCTCCACAAAACCTCACAGGTGGGAGAGGGAGGGAAAGATGAAGTGTTTGTGAGAGAGAGGGGGAGGGAGGGGGGAGAGAGGAGAACATGGGAGAGAGGGAAAGATGGAGGTGGAGTGTGTGAGAGAGAGGGGAGGGAGAGAGAGAGAGAGACTTGCTTCCCATTAATGGAGAGCACAAGACGCGAGCGCTGCCTTCGCTGTGCAGATCGCACGAGTGAAAGTGGAAAGAGAGCGTGGAAAACGCCGGCGGGAAAGGTTTTTTTGCCGCCGCAAAGGTGAGAGCGAGGGAAAGTGGGACGGGCCCGGAAAGCAGGACAAGGAAGGGGAGGCTCCGCGAAAGCAGGGGCAGAGCAGCCGGCAAGGCCAGAGGCGCCCACCTGCCGAAGCCACCGCCTCTCCTTCACCCCCACGCCAGAACTGCGCGGCGCGTCCTCCGGGCAACCTCTCTCTCTCTCTCTCTCTTTCGCTCTCTCACAAACACACTCACACACACAAACTCTCTCTCTATCTCACACACACACACAAACTCTCTCTCTCACACACACACACAAACTCTCTCACACACACAAACTCTCTCACTCTCTCTCACACACACACAAACTCTCTCACACACACAAACTCTCTCACACACACACAAACTCCCTCTCTCTCCCTCTCTCTCTCACACACACACACACACACACACACACACACACACACAAACTCTCTCTCTCTCTCTCTCCAGCGGGGCGCGTCCAGAGCGAAAGGGATGGGCGGAGAGCACCCCCTCCCTTTCCAATGGGGCTTGTTGGGAACGTGAGACGCCAGCCTCGCGGGGGCGAAGCAATTCCCCGGGATCGCGGGACCTTTGGGGCTCTTGAGAAGCCAGCCTGCCCTTGAGTTCTCTCGGACTTATTTCCAGGTAAGACTAGTATGGCGATCCTATACCTATTTGGTGAGCCTCGCTGAACTCAACGGGCTTTCTCTTTTTTTAGGCGAGCAAGTAGAGAGCAGGTGGCATCGTATTAGAATCAGGGAGACTGACTCCTTGGGAAATCAATCAATCAATCAATCAGAATAGAGCTGGAAGGGACCTTAGAGGTCTTATAGTCCAACCCCCTGCTCAAGCAGGAGATGAAGAAGAGGATGAAGAAGGAGTCCATCTAGGGTAAAAACAAAAAAAGCAGGATCCCTACACAACATCCACTCTATCTTGGACTGCCATTTGTCAGAAATGGTGTAGGGTCTCCCGCTTGGGCGGGGAGTGGCGGGGTTGGATTAGATGACCTATAAGGTCCCTTCCAACTCTGAATATCTGTTACCTTAAACAGCTCTAATGATTTTGCAACTACAGAGGTCATCCTTTGACATGTGACCATAATTGATTCTGGAAGTACGATCACAAATTGTGGCAGTCGTTAAGCGGAATGCGTTAAGCAGAATGCGGAGGCAGATTCCCTGCCATCGATCCTGAACCCCACTGGGTCACTTCGTTCCATTTCAATCTCTAAACTTAACCTGTCTTGCAAACCTGTCTGGAAAGTTGTGGGAGCGCCATCACTTGATAATTTCTAGAAGAGATTGGACTCCCGTCTGTCAGAAATGGTGTTGGGTCTCCCGCTTGGGCAGGGGGTTGGACTAGATGACCAACAAGATCCCTTCCAACTCTGATTATCTGTTATCTGCTTGTTAAAAATATGAAAAAACGAATATGAAAAAAAAAGGTGGAAGAGACAGTCTTCAGAAAGATAAACAATCCAGACACCATCCAGTCCAGCTCAGCTTCAGGGGACCAAATGAACCCACCATGTTGTTAATAATTTACAACACTTTGACATTACTTTTCTGGTGGTTTTTTCCCCTCCCTATTACCCAGTCCAGTTCAAAGCAGTAGCATTTCCCCCACACCTTCAATTACCAATCAAAACTCCCACCCAGGTATGTTATTATGCCTACGGTAAATATATTACCAGCGCTTGCCACACAATAATTTATGTAACGCCATCACTGTTCGTGCAAATGCGTGTTCATCTTTTGATAACAATGGGGGGGGGGGGGGGGAATAATCACACAAAAAATTATTTATTTACTATTGCATGCACAGTATTTTAGATGGTGGGATTTTACAGAGTTGCAAACCTGTAAATATACTTTGGAGATGTGGGGAGTGGGGAACGGAAAAAGGAGCCTAGTCTCGTTGTTCTGCCGCTTAACAGACAGAAGTTTTGTTTTAGGGTCAAGATAAAAAAGAAAATGAAAACCACCATGGCCGCCTCCCCCTTCATTCTTTTAGCTAACATTCAACGCACAGCCTGTTTCTTCCTCTGCTTCAGAGATCCAGTTCTGCACCAGGCTGGACTAGCACCTTTTTCTACATACAAGTCGAAGTTTTGGAATAAGCAGAGACAGGCAGGTCAAGTTACTAATATAAAGAAATATATATCCTTCCATTCCCCACTATCCTGTCAGAGCTGAAGAAGCTTCTTGGAAGAGAAGCAAAACATCTTCAAAAGAAAAAAGAAACAAGAAAGTCCAGTTGCCTCCCCAAAAAGCACCTTTGGGTCAAGTTACTAAGTCTTACCCTGTGAAAAACTGACCAAGCTGGTTATGTTGCTTTCAGGCTATCTGTGATAAAAGTAGAGGAACTGATGTTTTCTTATGTTTGCTCTGTTTTGTTTTTTCTGTTCTGCAAGTTGACTTTTAGAAAACAAATGTCAAACTATTCATATTACATCATGAGATAATTTTTCCAACAGGTTGTTTCCCCACCTCACCCCAAGTTGCAAAAGGCAGCTGCTCCTGCTATCTTTCTCAGGGGTATAGCATATATGTTCTTACCATAGATGAGGAGTCTCCAAACTTGGCAACTTTAAGCATGACTAGCTGAGGAATTCTGGGAGTTGAAGTCCACAAATCTTAAAAGTTGCCAAGTTTGGAGACCCCTGCTGTAGATGTACAGGTAGTCCTCGACTTACGACCACAACTGAGGGCGGCATTTTTTGTTGCTAAGTGAGCCATTTGTGAAGTGGGTTTTGCCCCATTTTATGACTTTTTGCCACCTTTGTTAAGAGAATCACTGCAGTTGTTAAATTAGTAACACGGTTGTTAAGTGAATCTGGCTTCCCCATTGACTTTGCTTGTCAGAAGGTCCCAAACCGCGGCTCCCTGGGACACTGCAACCAGCATAATTATGAACCAGCTTTCAAGCGTTTATAGGTAAATCCCGTGACCATGGGTGGGTGCTGCAAAGGTTGTACATGTGAAAAATGGTCATAAGTCACTTTTTCAGTGTCGGCGTAACTTTGAACGGTTACTAAATGAATTATTGTAAGTCGAGGACTACTGGTATAGCATATAGTTTCTTCAGGGTCTGGTATAGGGTCTCCTGCTTGAGCTGGGGGTTGGACTAGAAGACCTCCAAGGTACCTTCCGATTGGTAATGTGCTATTTTTTCCCGTTATTATTTTGAGACTCTGCAGGAAAATAATATTGACTCCTTTGCACATCAGGGAAGAGGAAATCTTGGTAGGGTGGAGGAGGGTTGACTGCTAGTGACTGCACCTGTCGGTTTTCTCTCTTTTTCCAAAACTATTCAAGTGTGTTCCAAAACAAAACAAAACCCCTTGAATTTTGTCCTTAACTCCTCTCTGTTCTGACCCAAACCTGGTTCCAAGAGAGTAAACACAAGACAAAGGTAACAGCACCACCTTTTGCTGTTTCATTAACAAATCCTGTTTCTTTTCAGATAAAAGGTTGCTTCCAACTCATTAGCTCTGACAAGAAAGAGCCTTGCCAAGTTTTTGCAAGGCTGCCAAGAAGAACAGATAACGTTGCTAAACAATAAATCAAAGAGTCTCCAGACACCAACTCACATATTCTAACGTCCATCAGGCTCGAGTATCAAACTTCTTTTCCTTCCGCAAAGAACAGCAGTTTCTCAGCTAGCTTTATCTTCTCAGGGAGGAGCCATTACCTTCCAGCCCTACTCCCGAGTCGCCTGTGCCGCTGCAGCTGCTCTTTCCTTCGAGCAGCCCTGTACACACGCACGCTGGGCACAGGCTCCTCGGGGGCCTTTTCATCACTGCTGCCAGCCTCCACAATCTCCCAAGGCAGAATTCCACTCCCTGATGGTCCCGGCCCCATCCCTGCATCACACGCAGGGCCCTCATCTGAGTCCTCGCTCTCCGAGACCTCAGCCATCCGCACCTGCTGCCGGCGAACCACAACACTCTCCTATTATCCTGGTTCCCAGGACCAATTCTCTCACCAAGAATAAAAAATGCAGGCATCCACAAGTTCTGAGCAAGCTCCGGGGGAGAAAATGGAGGAAGGAGCAAGAGATGTTCTCCGTGCGGACGGTGTTGGAAAAATTCCATCCAACGTGGATGCCCTGCAGATTAAAAGAGAGCCAGTTGAGCAATTGGATTCAGAGGTTCCATGGCATAATACCCGGAAAGGAACTCATTCCAAAGAAAGCCAACCTCAGCTGCCTGGATCCGAAGAGCGGGCTGACCATAATTCTTCTATCACGTTGTCAGAAGCCACGTCTCATGCCAACCCAGAGCACAGAGGAATAGTTGCATCGGAAGTCCTGACAGGCTTTAGTAGGAAAGCTCATGCCATCCAAAGCTTGGATTGTCCTCTGAAAGCTGGAGAGGAAGTACTGGAGAAAGACAAGATCAGTTTGGAGAGTCTGTGCCGGCGATTCAAGCAGTTTCGCTACGAGGAGGCTGAGGGGCCACGAGAAACATTTGGACACCTCCAGGATCTGGGCCATCGATGGATGAAGCCTGAGAGTCACACCAAGGAGCGGATTGTAGAGCTGGTGATTCTGGAACAGTTTCTGACCATTCTGCCACCAGAGATGCAAAACTGGGTTAGGGAAGACAAGCCAGAGACTTGTCTTCAAGCGGTGGCCCTAGCAGAAGATTTCTTGCTGTGGAAAGAAGCATCTGAAAGGCAAGAAGAGCAGGTGAGTAGTTTCATTTTGATCAACCAGGTGGTTCTAATAGAAGATAATATTTGTAGCTCAGGTAGGGGTGGGATTCTACCAGTTTGCACCTATTTGCTAGAACCGGTTGTTAACATTCTAAGCAGTTCAGAGAATCAGTTGTTAGAAGAAATTACTGGCCTAATCCTGTAAGGAAGGCAGGAAGGAAGCATTCTGGAGTTGCTTACAGAAACTGCCTCTCTATCAACCCTTATTACATTCTTGGCAGGACTAGACTTCCTGTCTCAGGTACTTCTCTGGAGTTTTTTTTTTTACCTCCTTTGCTGGTACTTTGCTTGTGTGGAGTGACCATTCAAAGTTACAGTGGCACTGAAAAAAGTGACTCATGACCATTTTTCACACTTACAACTATTGCAGCATCCCCACAGTCATGAGAGGCCAGGCGAGGAGATGCATGCCTCAATGTGAGTGATATTGAGTTGGCCACACCCAGCCAATAACATGACCACAAAGCCACGCCCACCAACTAAGCCACGCCCACAGAACCGGTTATTTAAAAAATTTGAATCCCACCCCTGTACTAATAGAAGATAATATTTTTTAGCTCAGGGTTCAACTGTAGAGTTCTTGGTGCTCTCTGTGCTTGGTTGTTTTCTTGCAGACTTTTCGTTCATTAAAATTTTCACTTTAGTGCTAGAAGGGAGTGGGGCAATGGCGGCTAACCTTTTTCGGCTCCTGTGTCGATAATTGCATGCCCGCTCGCTTGCATGTGCTCGCATGCCAGCACCCAGAAGGCAATGTGTGCTGGGCGGCCCCCACGCCCCCTGTGCATGCGCGCGTGATCCCCCTCACGTGCACGATTCCCCCTCATGGGCCGCGCATCTGCGCATGCAATTTCCCTCACGTGATGTGCGTCCCTGCACATGTGCAGGCATCTCCCGCGCACTCCCCTCCGCCCCCTGCACATGTGCACCAAATACCCGACAATCAGCTGTCGGGCGGTGGCACGCATGCGCCTACGCAGCATGGTTCTTCTGGGTGATCTCTCATGTACTGGGAGCAATGGCTCTGCGTGCCACTTCCGGCATGCGTGGCATAGGTTCGCCAACACGGGAGTGGGGCTTGCTCTCTGTTTATGTTCAGCAACTTACCCTGTCAAGATTGGTGGGACAAAAATGAAGTGACTAAAATGCCTCCTTAACAACCATCAACCCTCAGATAATCAGGGATTAACACCAGTCTTAAAGCAGGGAATGACACCATACCAAATCAACAATTAGAGAAAAAAAATAAAATAGCCTAATCAAGGAGTTACCAAGAAGGAAATACAACCTACACCGATGGGACTTGTCTCAGTAGACTCTGAAGACTCTGAAAATTGTGCAGTGCTCCTGATCTCTGCATGAAACGGTTAATTCATTCATTCATTCATTAGGAATTAGGTACACTTACAAGAAACATGAAGTTACTGTTACCTAATTGATGGATCACATTTACAGTTTTCCTTCAAATGAAGTTTGTTTTAATGAAAATTGGGCTCATGCACACACACACGTACACACACACACACAGTCTGGATCGTCACAAACCCCCAGTTTTTTCCTGCAAACCAAATCTAATTTAACACGTTTGACCCATATAGTAAACAGGATGTTGGTTTTTTTGTGGAAAAGATATCTGTTGATTTCAGGGCTGCTAAAACAAAAACAAAAACTACAATCCCACTGATGGGGGATTAAAGAAGTCAAAAAGATGTCATCCTCCCACATTTTTTAAAGTAAACTAAACTAAGGTGTTTACATTATTGTGTAATATGTATATAAATCAACTATAATATTCTAACACATTGCTAAATCTGAAAGTTTTCTATTAAATATTCTTAAATTTTCAAGTCTTTTTGTGTTCTTCTTTTTTTAGACCAATTTCATCAAAATGAAACAGCGTTTGTTGGAAACAGGAAAGGAGGCACCTGAGCAAAGGGCAGATCATCAGATCCACTTGTCTGGTAAGATTTGAGTCACAGATCATAGAATCATACGAAGTGTACAGAAGGACCTTGGAAGTCTTCAACTCCAACTTCCTGCCAAGGCAGGAGTCTTTATACCACCTCAAACAAATAGTTGTCTAATCTTTTCTTGGAGACCTCCAGTGCTGGAGCATCTCACAGTTCCAGGAGGCAAGCTGTTCCATTGATTAATCTTTCTTGCTATCAGAAAAGTCCTCCTTATTTCCAGACTAGCTCGATCCCCGTGCTTTGCTATGAAACTATGTGATTATGTAGTTTTGGGGGAGGAAAATAAGGGGAAAAAATTCTGCCTCCGCCTACCAGGATCCATCAGTTTTCATCTGGCTAGCGTCCTGTCAGTGTGTGTGAAAGAGTTGAGGGCTGTTTGGAAATTGAAACAGTATTTGCTGTGTGAGCACAAAGGAGACAGCAAGCCTGGGCGTTGTTTAGTTCAACTGTTCTGTACTAAAGCTGCTTGGTGCTGTGAAAGTAAAACTGAAACTCCTCTGCTTGTGTTTTGCATTTGGAAAAAAAATCTTTTTAGGTGGGGAGGGGGAGTAGAAATCCTTAGCATCAGAGCTAGATCTAGAAGCTAAGAGGAACATACGTGCCAAATTTCAAGTTTGTAGGCTTTATGATTCTGGAGATTTTGTGATAATACGTGAATGTTATTTCGCTTTTAGAGAGAGAGAGAGAGAGGAAGGATCGCTTTCTGTCCCACTTTTACACGTTTTTCGGGCCCATTTGGATTTTGCAAAATTTCTAATATACTTCTGAGTTGTTTTTTTAAACCTATGACTTATGTATTTGCATCCAAAGCGGGAACATTTGTATATATCCAAGGGCGAGGCTTCTGCTGTAACATAACAACACTTAGCGGATTTTTTTTATTGTGTGGGGAAGTTTATCATATCACCTATGCTGCTCTCTGTTTTACTGGGGAGAAGCAGTGAGATATTAAATGTCAAAAGCTTCTTCACAGACTCATTTCTCTCTGGTATTTCCCATAGAAATGGTTGAAAACAAGAGGAAGAGATTTATGAAAGGAATTTCTCACCTGATGACACTTACTGGAGTTCCATTTGATAAAGCCACGCGAGAACTTTTCTCCTTGTCCCCGATGGGACACATGACAAAATATCATCAAGAGACAGAGAGGAATGAAGGGAGGCCCTTAGGACAAGGAGGAGCAGAAAAACATACCTGTGAGAAAGAGGACGACAAAATCTTCCGTCAAAACATCTGGGAAAAACCTCCCAGAGAGGATGCTTGTGATCTTCCTACGTACCAGAAAATGGAAGCTGAAAAAGTGCCATCCCAACGTAATGACGGTGGTAAAAGCTGGGACTCCATTTTTGAGAAGAACAAACAAATGAGAATAGAATCGACCATGGATGGTCAGGTTGGGTTCCATCAAAAGGTTCCTCAAAGCAATCTTCAGAGGATCCCTGTTGGAGACAAACCGTACAAATGTTCCAGATGTGGGCACAATTCCAGACAGACCTTAATTCTGAGGGGAGGAAGTCTTCGTATGTGTTTGAATTGTGGTAAAAGCTTTCTTTGTAGTTCAGCCCCAGGAAAGCAAGAGAATGCATATGGTGAAAAGAATCCATCCCAACATACAGAATGTGAGAAGAGGACTCCACAGCCTCCTGACCTTCAGATAGGAGAGAAACCGTACGCGTGCACGGACTGTGGGAAAAACTTCAGCTTTAAGTCAAGCCTCGTCCGCCATCAAAGGCTCCATACCGGAGAGAAACCATACAAATGTTTAGACTGCGGGAAGAATTTCAGCCAGAGTTCAAACCTTCTGAACCATCAGAGAATCCACACTGGGGAGAAACCGTACAGCTGCCCAGACTGTGGGAAATCCTTCAGCAACAGTTCAAGCCTGACATCCCACGAGAGAACTCACAGAGGGGAGAAACCGTATAAGTGTGCCAGCTGCGGGAAATTTTTTAGTTGCAGCTCGGTTCTCCGTATCCACGAGAGGATTCACACAGGGGAAAAGCCCTACTTGTGTTTGGTGTGCGGGAAAAGCTTTAGCCGGAGAGAATTCCTGGTCGGCCACCAAAGAACTCACACGGGGGAGAAACCGTACGAATGTGCAGAATGTGGGAGGAGCTTCAGTCAGCGATCCAACCTGATTAATCATCAAAGAAGCCACACGGGGGAGAAGCCCTTTGAGTGCTTGGATTGCAGGAAAAAGTTCAGTCACAAAGCCTCCCTCTTGAAACACGAGAGAAACCAAGCGCATGGGCCAGCCGTGGGAAAGGATTTAGCCAGGGTCAATGCGATCATTGTGGTGGAACACAACCAGGCAGTGTAGCATAAATATGGGGTGGATCTCCCCAAGGGTTGCCAACAAGCAAAAAATCCACATAGGAATGACCACAAGTTTTTGTTAAGAACTGTCTTCCTTTGAATCTAACCATCTTTTCGGCCTAAAATAAGATAGAAGGAGCAATTCATAGAGTTGAAGCCACGAGGAAGAGAATATTGATGGCAGGTCAAGGGGTGTCAAATTCAATTTAATTGAGGGCCACATCAGGGTTGTGTTTTTCCTTGAGGGGGAGACAGGGGGGCATGGCTGGAGTGGGCATGGCCAGTTGAACATCACTTGTTGAGGCTTGGTTTTCAGACGCGATGGCCTCCTGCCAGGCCTCTGCCAATGAAAATGGAGCCTGGAGGGACTGCGTGCAGCCCACCCAATCTCTGTGGCAAACCCAGGTTCGGGGTTTGACAGGACCATTGAGACTCTGTTTTCAGTCATGATGGTCACCTGAAGCCCTCTGCCAGCCTTTTCCTTGACCTTTGTTTTCTCTGCCAGAGGGCTGCAAGAAGTCGTCACAGCCAAAAACAGACCCTGGAAGGGCCATGCACGGGCCTCCCAAGCTCCATATTTGCTGGCAGAGGCACTGCAGACCAGTCCTTTGTTGTTTCCAGGACGGGCCTGCTGTTTTGGTCCGCCAGCAGCCTGTGGAGACGGCAGCAGAATCAGACAGTGGGGAAGAACATGGCCAGTCCAGGACTCTGGGGAGGACTCGGATGAGGGTCCTGCGTCCGATACAGAGATGGGGCCAGGGCCATCTGGGAGTTATGTGCTGACTCCGGAGCCTCCAGAATCTGACAGCAGCGAGGCAGAGGAACAAGGGAAGCCTGTTCCCAGTGTGCGTGTGCACAGAGCTGCCAGAAGACAAGAACAGTTAAGACCAAAGGGGCAACTTGAGAGTAAGGCTTGGAGGTGGTTGGCCTCTCCCATAAGATATAAAGGAAGTGCAAAGGGACAGGAACCTTTGCAGGAAGCAAGGTTTTTTGCTCTGTTTGGATTAAACCTTGAAGCTCTGTATGGACTTCATTTGGCTTTTTACAGCTAATTTGGCACTTTAGTTGTTGGCAGCAACTCAAAGGAGAGAAAGGTGGGTGCTTATCTCTAGAGACTGGGACACATTACGGGCTGGGAATGAACATAATTCCCAGCGTTGAAATAAAAAGAGTTGTTTGGACTAAGCGTGTGTTTAATTACGGTCTCAGGAAGCCTGGGTCAGAATACCTGCAGGCCAGATCTAAGCACCCCACGGGCCGGATCTGACCCGTAGGCCTTGAGTTTGACACCCCTGCTTTAGGTTATCTCTGTTTCCATTAGCTTAATTATGGCAGATTTTTTGCATCCCAGATGTCAGCTTTCTGGCACAGAAGAAAGCCATCTGCAAGCCTGAAAGGCTGAGGTTTGCAGACTTGCAAAACGTTAAAATAAATGGAGCTCACACTCTCCCCCAAAAGAGAGACCAATAAGGGCTGGAGATGCTCCATGAGCATTGGGAAGATGGGTAGGAAGGATAATGCAAAAGGGGCAAGGCTGATAGGTTTGCTATTAGTTCTTGGTGTTTCTACATGAGCCCCTGGACACTGCAAACTTTGTAAAAACATCCTGGTTTACAAGTGCTCAAAAAATTTTTTTGATCATTGTTAGGGATACACCCTAGCAGAATCTGCACGGCAGTCAGACAGGCAGGCAAAATATGTGAGATAAACGTTTACACTCAGTAAAACAGATACACAGTGCTAGTTAAATAGTTTATTCCAGTAAGAGTTATAGCATAGTCAAACAGTCCATATATCATTCACTAATTCAGTCCGTCCGGGGATTATTCAGTTGCAAATTCCAGTGTCGAAAAAGAGAGGTCAGTAAACTTACAAATATTAGTCCAGTAATATATCTCCTCGCAGTAGAGAGATATGAAGAAGTCAAAACTCCTCTCTTCCTTCAGCAACTCAGCAGTAGGGAAAACACGCAGTTAACAAACCATCAATCCATCAAACCAGCAATCGTCAGGAATCGTCAGCAGTCCAGTAGGTTCACTTGCTCCCTCTTATGGCGGTTTCACAGCACACCCAAAATTACATGCTTTGCAGTTTAAAGTGACACACACTTACACTTAAACTTACTATCATAGTTTATATATATATTATTTTACCCAAACTAGGTTACCTTGTTATTCCTAACAATCATGTGACTGTGGGAATGTTGCGATGGTCACCAGTGCAAGGACTGTTTATAAATCACTTTTTTCAGTGCTGTTGTGACTTCAGATAGTCATTAAGCTAATGTTGTAAGTCAAGAACTACCTGTATGATGGAACCTGTGTGATTTGTGCATCAATTTAAGTAGATCAAGAAGAAAAAAATTATTAGAGTTATGAAATATAAACTGAGTTTCAAAACAACTTTGAGACATAATTCTTACAATTGCACTGCTAGTGCACAGGGTTCAGGATTTAGAATCTAAAGAGTTTGGATAACCTAGACTTGAATTTAAAATGAGATTATGTCAAAAAGTACTGTATATTTGATGAAATGCTAGGTATTGGGGTTGTTAGGATTTGGGAATAGAATTAACCTGGCTAAGCAATGATAGAATAAATTGGGGAAAATAATGAAAAGTCGTGATCATTAATTGGGTTGTATCAGAAAGCAATCGGCTGAAAATTTATTTAATTACTAAAAGCCAGTATTGGAATTTTAATTAGGAGCTTGTAGTTAAAAGTATAGTTGTCTGTTTTACCCTTCCTTTTTCAAATAAATTTATTGTTAGTACAAACACTGTATTTAAACAGGAAATAAAAAACAATAAATCTTGCCTTTCTAATGAATGTTTGGCTTTTTTTAATCTCTGGATTTTTGCAATGCCGGCGAAAATAGATTGAATTAGATTTACTTAATTTTTAAAAAATTGAAAATCACTTTGGTGTTGGATTAGTAACCAGGACATCATAGGATAGGATAGGATAGGATAGGATAGGATAGGATAGGATAGAATTGAATTCTTTATTGGCCAAATGTGATTAAAAACACAAGGAATTTGTCTTGGTGCAAATGCTTTCAGTGTACATAAAAGAAATGATATATTCATCAAGAGTCAAGAATCATCATTTTGAGTTCTACTTCTGAGTAGAACATCATGAGTTCTACTTCTGCCTTAGGAAATGTGAAGCCAGCTGGATGAGCTTGGGCCAGTCCCTCTCTCTCAGTCCTTGGAAGGAGGTATGGGCAAACCAAGTTTGGAAAATGTTGCCAAGAGTCAGCCCAAGAACAAACACACATTCTCATAGCTTGCCTTTCCAATGTGATTCTGTATCTAGGTTCCACTCCCGGGGAGTCCTAAGAGAGCTGGAACAATCCACCACGGTAATTATCTACCAATGTTTCTCAACCTTGGCCTAAGATGTGTGGACTTCACCTTGATTTCTGGGACCTGAAGTCCATCTATGTTAAGGTGGCCAAGGTTGAAAAACTCCAGTGCACCCCATAGAGCAGGGGTCCCCAAACTTGGCAACTTTAAGACTTGTGAACTTCAACTCCCAGAATTCTCCAGTCAGCTATGCTGGCTGGAGGCTTCTGGAAGTTGAAGTCCACAAGTCTTAAAGTTGCCAAGTTTGGAGACCTCTGCCATAGAACAACATCTAAACCAGTTTAGTTTAGTGATTAAAGCTTCAAGCTAAAGGACAGACCTCGAGTCACATCTTAGCCATGAAAGCCAACTGGATGACCTTGGGCTTGTCACTCTATCTCAGGCCAACTCAACACACAGGGTTCTTATAGTGGAGAAAATAGGAAGAAAGTATGTTGGGTATGTTTGCCAGTCTTGATTTATGTGTAAAAATAATAAAGGCAGGGAATGAATGACTGAATGAATGAATACGTGTAGTCCTTGAATTATGACCACCAATGAGCCCAGAATTTATGTTGCTAAGTGAAACATTTAAGTGACTTTGCCCCACTTTACAGTCATGCCACAGTTGTTAAGTGAATCATTGCATTTGTTAAGTTAGTAACATGGTAACTGTTACTAATAACCATGTCAGAAGGTCACAAAAGCTGATCACATGACCCCAGAGCACTGCAACTGTCATAAATGTGAACCACTTGGCAAGCATCTGAATTTTGATCATGTGGCCTTTGGGATGCTGCAATGGTTGTGTGAAAAACGCTCATGTCACTTTTTTCAGTGTCATCGTAACTTTGAACAGACACTAAATGAATGTTGTAAGTCAAGGACTACCTGTCCTGTAAGCCACGCAGAGACGTTGGATACAAGGTGAGCGACAAATAAATGCCATAAATGAATGAATGAATGAATGAATGAATGAATGAATGAATGAATGAATGAATGAAATAGAGAATTCAGGTAGTGGGTTAATCCAGGAATGAAATGTATGAATGTGTATGTGTTGTGACTCCGAGACTTGAACCTGATCAGTCAGCAGATGTGGGCTCGAGTGAGGAAGAAGATCTGGCATTGAGATTCGAGCCTGCACTGCTGAGCAACCTTGAGAGGAGTCTGGGGGACGAGGAGTTGAATCTGAGAGATGAACCTGATTTATTAGAAGTTTCAGAGACCTCTTCCTCTTCTGGAACTCCCTCCCTGATTGCACCTCAGGTGTTAACTGTTAATCAGGAAAGTGTATCAGAGGATTCCAGCTGTGATGAAACTGCCAGATGCTGGCTGGATGCCAGAATGAGGAGAAGATTGAGACGTCAATCTCAATTAGAAAAGAGACGTCCAGCAAAGGATTAATTAATGAGACTAACACGCCCTTTCTTAGAAGATATAAAGGAGTGCATGACTTTGAAATATTTGCTGGAAAACAAAGTGAATCTTGCCTTGGAAAGACTTGCGTCTGATTTACTGCGTTGTGAGCTTTATAGAATTGCCGGACAGATTCTAGGAGAATTGCCAAAGGACTGTGATAACAGAGCAATTAATCTTCTGACTCCGGTTTTGTTTACGTAAAGTATTTGAATTATATTACTCGAAGTTTCATCTGTGAATGCAGGTGGAACAGAACATGTATGTATGAATGTACACATGTATTTGTGTATGTAGCCATGTCAAGTGAACAGCAACATCAGGAAGGAGTGTGGTAAGCTGGAGAAGTACCAAGGCCTGAAGGAATGTGGAAAACAAAGGCCTGAGGAATTACAATGGTGGTAGAAACATACTCGGGGCTGTGACACCTAAGCTGGACGAGTGGCTCAAACAGATCCCAGGGACATAATCTGAGCTCTCTGGGGAAGAAGAAGTGTCAACCCTGAAGTTGGCTGAACTGCTGGCCATTTTCTTTTTTAGTTTTATTCTAGAGAGTTTCTTCTTCTCACAGTTTCAGGGCTGACACAACCTGCAGCAAAGGGGACAAGAAGTGGGGTGTAGAGATAGCTGTAGCCAAAATAAAATAATTTCTCCTCAGAATCAAGGACATTGGTGCAGGTGTCTGAAAAATGGAGACTGTGAGGTCACCTAGCAACCGGGCTGTATGCTGATTGGTCCATGTGGTTGGTGACTCTGGTGGGGAAGTGACAGAGTTTTACTTTTAATTGGGTGTAAAACCACCGGGAACTTAGAGACATTTTTTTCACTTAAGAAAATGCCAATTTGATATGTTCCAATAAAATGTTCTTTGAGGAATAAGCCTGCCTTGGAGTTCTTATTGAATGGGACGTATTACTAATGGAACCTTAACAAGAAGGCAGTGCTAGGCACAGATAAAGGTATTTTTAGTAGACAACCTGAGATTGAGGAAGACACACACCACCCACAGCGCGTAAGTGGTTAAAGACACAAGGTAAGAAACCAGGAGCCAAGAAGCAACGATAAGGAGCAATTGCAACCCAAAATGTTAGGTCTTCCATCTAGTTGTCAGGAGTTAACTCAAGGTTGCATGGGAAAATCCAAAAAAATTAAAAGAGATGGCTCCACATAGCTGCAGGAAAATGCTAAAGGAACAGAAAGGAAAGCTACAAAGATTTTCAAGTCATGTTTGTCTCAAAGGTGCATTTTTCAAAAGGCAACCAGAATTTCTTCTTGTTGTTTTTTTCCTTGAAAATGTTTCATTTCTCTTCCAAGAAGGAGAAGCGAAATGTTTTCAAAGAAAAAACCAAGGAAGGAAGGAAGTCCGGATGCCTTTTGGAAAAAACACCTTTGGGATTACAGAAAAGCAGCAAAAATACTATGGCAAGAAAAAGAACCACACGTAACTTGCAGTTTGCATACTTTTATTTATGTTAGGCCTCACACCAACCCTGCAAGGTAGACCATGTCATAGATGGGCAATCCAGGCTGCCTTGCAGATTGCAAAAACTACACTGGGGCATAACTTGTACTTATAACTCCCACACCCAATGACAAGTCTCTAATGCATTATGACACCAGACATTAGAAAATTAAGGGCTATTGTACCAGCCTTGATTATCCATTTTTTTGTAGATCAAATAGTAGTCCTAAGAAAAAAGCAATAAAGTTACTCAGAAAACTGAGGTTTAGGCAAAAAAATAAGGATCCAGAATTACAATAGATAGGAGGACCTCTTAAGAGTAATAGCAGAAAAAAAACTTAAGCAATTTGACCCTAAATATATCTAGATTCATTTGCAATCTCTGAGAATATTTAAGGAACATAAGTTACATTGCCCTCAAAATATATGTTGAAACAAATACAAAAGAAAGATCCAGCCTTGGGCCTTCATTTCCCGTGGCTTATGAAGCAAATTTTAACCAATGAATCTCATAGGCAGATCTCCAAACCTGGCAACTTTAAGACTTGTGGACTTCAACTCCCAGAATTCTCCAGCTAGCATAGCTGACTGGAGAATTCTGGGAGTTGAAGTCCATAAGTCCTAAGGTTGCCCGGTTTGGGGATCGCTGCTCATAGGCATGTCAGGAAATGACCACTGGTGTCCTTGTTCAAGGCAGTTAAGATGGGTAAGGACATAGTCAAATCTTTCTGTGGCAGCTTTTTATTTAAAAATTAACCTGCTCATCCATAAGGATCAGGAATTCCTTCCAGGAAAACAAGTGGGATGGCTGAGGAAAGATGGCTCATCCCATCCTCCCTTTGTCCCTTAGTTTTCATGCTAGCCACAGAGGAAATGCATTCTCTATGGTTAACATGGAAATGCAACAGGCAGCAAAACTCGGTAAGCAGAGAAGGATGGCGCAGCTGCTTTACTAGAGGAATAAATCAGATGCTGATATTTCTAAGCTCATGTTTTTAAGCAGAAGCTTCTCATCTCTGTGGCTGGAATGGAAATCCTAGTTCTGTCAGGTTCAGTATTTGTCCTAATCACGTTGATTCAACCTAGAACTAAGGAGGAATTTCCTGACAGAACCATTAATCGGTGGAACGGCTTGTCTTGCCTTCAGAAGCTGTGGGTCCTCCATCACTGGAGGTTTTTAAAAAGAGACAGTGGACAATCATTTGTCTGAAATGGTCCAGGCTAGGGCACGGCTATCAAATTCCCAGCCGACAGGCCGGATGTGTCATGTGCTGGCTACGCCCACGCCCGGTTTAGCAAAGGGGAAAAAAAGTTGTGATATGTCATGTGACAATGCCATGATGACATCCCTGGTCTAGGGTTTCCCTAGAGCAGGGGGGTTAGTCTCTAACAGTGATGGCGAAGCTTTTTGTTGTGGTGTGTCGAAAGGTTTTTATCAGCGAGTGAGTTATATTTTTTTCGAGACAGAAGTAGATTTGTTGTCCCTAGAACAGCAAATGTTGTTTATGTTTGTGCTGCTAAACGTAATTTAGCGCCAATCGAGTTCCTTCTACCAGAAGCAAATTTAGAAGGGAGAAAATATTAATTGGAAAGATTCAAAAACTATAACAGCGTAAACCAACCTTTCCGGATTGGCAGCCCGGTGTGAGGTATGTGTGTGTGAGGGGATGGGTCCAGAGGTGGTATTCAGCAGGTTCTGACCAATTCTGGAGAACCGGCAGTGGAAATTTGGAGTAGTTTGGAGAACCAGCAAATCCCACCTCTGACTGGCCCTGCCCCCATCTATTCTCTGCTTCCCGAGTCCCAGCTGATCAACTGGGTCTCCTTTTGCTGCCCTGCACAGGAGAACAGAGCTGGAAAGCAGGTTAGTGGGGTGGGTAGGGAATGGGATTTTGCAGGAACCTTCTCCTGCCACGCCCAACAAGCCACGCCCACAGAACTGGTAGTACATTTTTTTGAATCTCACCACGGCTCGGAAGGCCGAAAAGCAGTCCTTCCGGAAATACCGAAAGTGCCTGTTTTCAGCCTCCGGAGGGCCTCGGGTGGCTGAAAACGGGCCCATTTCGGCATTTCTGGAAGGCCCATTTTTCAGCCTCCCAAGACTGCAGAGGCTTCCCTCAAGCCTCCGGGAGGGCGAAAACGGCCTCAAATGGGCTGAACATCAGCTGGGAGGCGCATACATGCGCAGTGCAGGTAAGTTTGGCTGGGGTGCCCGCGTGCCCACACAAACAGCTCTGCGTGCTACCTGTGGCATGCATACCATAAGTTCGCGCCATCACGAGTCTAGCAGACCTCCGAGGTCCCTTGCAACTCTGTGATTCTGTTCTGAACATTTATGAATATATGAGAAATGTGCTCAAATTAATCCTAAAATGGAAAAAGGAAATATCCAGGATAGGGAATCTTCCCCTATCAATAGGAAAGGCAAATCTGCCCAGAAATAAATGACAGAAAAATGTTATTTTGTCCTCTCCAACATCCATTTCCCCCACTCCCTATCCCTGGCAAATTCCAGAATCGCAAGCAACCGGTCTGGCAATTGGATTTAAATTCTAGCACCTTTAATGGGATAACATATTTCACCTCCACAAGAGGCTAATTCAGGAGATACAGGATAGATTGTATATGTCACCTACAACTTTGTTCTCCAAAAGTCAGTACAGTAGATCTGTAGAGCATGGTTTTAATGGAGAAAGGGAAGATCTGTTACCAAATCAATACAGGTAGTCCCCCACTTACAAGAGTTTGTTTAGCGACAGTTCCAAGTTACAATGGCACCGAAAAAAGTGACTTAGGGCCGTTTTTCACACTTACGACCGTTGCAGCATCCTCATGGTCACGGGATCAAAATCCAGACCCTTGGCAATTGATTCATATTTATGATGATCACAGTGTCCGGGGATCATGTGATCTACTTCTGTGACCTTCTGACAAGCAAAGTCAATGGGGAAAACCAGATTTGCTTAACAAACATGTTACTGACTTAACAACTGCAGTGATTCACTGAAAGATTGTGGCAAGGTAGATCGTTAAAAAAGGGGGGCAAAATTCACTTAACAAATGTCTCACTTCACAACAGAAATGTTGGGCTCAATTGTGGTCATCAGTAGAGGACTATCTGTAAATAGATAAACGTGGCTTAAGCCAAAGAGAGACGTTTACAAAAATGTCTCAGATGGGCCACCCCCACCCCCGTCAAATTCTCAAGACAAAGAGGAGATGGGGAAGTACATTCATATAAAACATAGTACATGTTATTACAGCTACTTTAATAAATGTAGTGTTAGGTCTACATCGTGTCCATTTCTTGGTCTGCTTTACCCAGTAGGGCTAACAACATCCAACCTGAGTCTGCCATTTAAGGGCAGGTTTTGAGACAGATTTTAATCTTTTCCTTCCCTATACAATGTGGCATTTTGATTAATAATCAACTAAACCGTCTTCTTCAAGATGTCTCTTTCCCCATGGCATGTCGACTCATAAAATATTTCTCTGGTCTTTTTAGAGCGGCCAACAGAAAGGGAGGGGGGAGCACTGCAGCAGCTTGCAAACCCGAAACTGCATTCCCTAAATAGCTTTCAAAGATAGTAACTAGGGGACCAAAGTTTCTGCCATGCAAAATGCTAACTGGAGAGCATGATGGATGACTCTTAGCTATGGATGTGTCCCATTGGAGAATATGAATTACGATACACCCAGGGGGTGGGGGAAAAACAGGGTCAAGAGTGACAATGAATGATGTGCTTCAGAGTCAGCTACACCCAGGCAGTGCCGGACATGATAACTCTCAATAAATCCTTTTGAAGTTTTGGAAGTTTGGCTCGAGACTCATGATTTAAATGGGGGGGTAACTGCCAGAATCCTGACATGGAAATTATTTCATGAATAAAAACGGTTAAACTCTGAAAACTCCATCACCCCATCTCAAACATCTTCCACTTTGGGCTCTGTTTGCAAAGCTGCAAGACAAAAGGGTTTGGCCGTATAGGTGAGACCACAGTCACAAACCGGGTTTGTTTATCAAAAAAACACTTTCCTGCTACTATTCAAATACAGCTCTATTCTGTTTGAACCTCATCTTGTGTTACTGGGGTCAAATAAAACCTGGCTTATAGAATGCAAGCCATTTATATGGTCTTTCCAACGTGGTCTCTCTCGCGTACAGGCAGCTTGGAATCCGGATCCAAGCTAGGATGAGAATATTTTGAGAAGATGGGCCGCGTATGGATTCTCTCGTGTTTAAGAAGGCCTGAACTTTGCTTGAATTTTTTCCCGCACTGGGAACATTTGTAGGGCTTCTGCCCCGTGTGGTTTCTCTTATGCCTAGTAAGGCTAGACTTGTTACTGAAGGTGTTCCCACAGTCCGAGCATCGGTAAGGCTTTTCCCCCGTGTGGATCCTCTCATGTTTCACAAGATTTGAGCTCTGGGAAAAGCGTTTCCCGCAGATGGAACAACTATACGGGGTCTCGCCCGTGTGAGTTCTCCCATGGACTAGAAGACTGGAGCTCTGCTTGAAGCTTTTGCCGCAATCTGAGCATATGTAGGGCCTCAGGCCGGTGTGATTCCTCATATGCCTGATTAAACTTGAGCTCTGACTGAAACGTTTCCCGCAGTTTAAGCAACCAAATGGCTTTTCTCCGGTGTGTTTCCTCTTGTGTCTGGTCAGGCTGGATTTGTTACTGAAGCTGTTCCCACATTCCAAGCATTTGTAGGGTTTTTCTCCTGTGTGAGTCCGGTCGTGGGTGAGGAGGGCCGATCGTTTCTTGAAGCCTTTCCCGCAGTCCGCGCACTTGTAGCGTTTCTCAGTTGCCTTGGGTGTCTCGTGCTCCCTTACGAGGCCCGATGGATCGCCAAAACCTTTGCCATACATCGGGCAATAATGGGGATCCTCTCCTGTGTAGATTCTTTCATCGTCATTGCCTTCTGGAAGAGAGAATTGGGATATGTCAGTCTTTAGGTAGGCCTGGGATTAATACGGGTAATCCTTACAAACATTTTAGTGACCATCCCAAGTTACAACAACACTTTACAAAGTGACTTGCTTACTGTTTTTCGCATTTACAACTGTTGCAGTATCCCCATGATCACCTGATCAAAATTTGGACACTGAGCAACTGATTCATATTTATGACGGTTTCAGTGTCCCAGAGTTATGAGATCCCATTTTGCAACCTACTGACAAGCAAAGTCAATGGGGGAGCCAGATTCACTTAACAACCGTGTTACAAACTTATTGTCACGCCCGTCGGAGTCTGAATCCAAGGAGGAAGATGAACAGCTGACAGGGAGTGGGAGTGTGGCTCAGTTGGCTGTGGAGGAGGCTGGGGAAGGGCAAAGTCTGGCTGGGCAGAGCAAAGGAGAGGTAGAACAAGGGAGAGGGAATTCAGAGGAAGGCCCAGGCCCATCCCCTTTTCATCCTATGGCACGCAGGGAGGAACGGAGAAAAGAGCAATGTGGGTTGCGTGGCTTACGGGGGAGGAAAGGGCCCTGATTCCCTTCATTAGCTGCAGCTAGGAACACAAGTGTATAAAAAAGGCAAGCTGTGTGCAAACGTGACTTTATCCTATGTTGTCATGGCTTATCTGTGTTCCTGGTGTCTTCCCAACCGTGCGAGTTTTTTCGTGCCTTCAAGCCTTGCTTCTGCCCTGCCAAACTAATTACTTCCATTTGGCTTGTTTGGATTTAAATTTACAGTTTGTGTTGCTCATGTTTTGACTTAATTTTCTGCAGTCAAAGGCTCTTCCTAGGAGAGTTTTCCTCCAGCCAGAAGGTAACCTTGACATTGGACGCAAAGTTAGAGATAATAAAGGGACTCTTATTGCTTATCTGACTGTGTTGTCTTTGTGCCACGCCCCGGGTCGTCACACTTATTGACTGCAGGCATTCACTTAACAGCTCTGGCAAGAAAGGTCATAAAATGAGGCAAAACTCAGTCAACAACGGTCTTGCTCAGCAACATAAATTTTGGGCTCAGTTGTGGTCATCAGTCAAGGACTACCTGTACCAATAAAAGCTGCTATCCAGAAAATGAAAGTTATCTTTTTAACAAAAGTAATTCTAAACTGAGAGTGGTTAAAGGAGGACATGACGGACGCAAGGAAACCTACCACTTTTTAAAATTGCCTGTGCCTCCTGCCCGTATATTCAACTTTTTTAAAATGGCCAAAAGCTTGTGACGTGACCAAACTTCAAAAAAGGTGAAGAATACAGGTAGAGTTCAAGCCTCAACTTACAACAGTTCATTTAGTGACTGTTCGAAGTTTACAACGGCACTGAAAAAAGTGACTTAGGACCATTTTTCACACTTTACGACCATTGCGGCATCCTCATGGTCACATGATCAAGCTTCAAATGTTTGGTAACTGGCTTATATTTATGACCATTGCAGCATCCTGAGGTCATGTGATCCCCTTTTGAGACCTTCTGACAAGCGAATTCACTGGGGAAACCAGATTCATTTAACAACGGTGTTACTAATTTAACAACCGCAGTGATTCACTTAACAAACGTGGCAAGAAAGGTCCTAAAATGGGGCAAAACTCATTTAACAAATTTTTTACTTAGTAAGCAGAAATTTTGGGTTCAATAGTTGTTGTAAGTTGAGGACTACCTATACAATTTTACATCCCAGAAAACAGCTTAAAAGCCAACCCCATCCCTCAAAAAGAAACCCGAAAACTCTAAGGGCACAGGTAGTCCTCAACTTTTACAACCCCAGAGCAGCATATAAAGGAGCCTCGGTGGGGCAGTGCTTAGAGTACAGTACTGCAAGCTACTCCTACTGTAATTTGACAGATCGAATCCCAGCAGGCTCAAGGTTGACTCAGCCTTCCATCCTTCCGAGGTGGGTAAAATGAGGACCCAGATTGTTGGCGGGTGGGGGCAAGAGGCTGACTCTGTAAACCGCTTTGAGAGGGCTGTAAAGCACTATAAAGTGGTATATAAGTCTAAGTGCTATTGCTCTATGCCCATCACAAACATAAGCCATGATAGTTGTAACAACAGTGTCAGGATTCCAGCAATCGCTCTAATGAAATCATGATTCTCGAGCCAACCTTCAAAAAACTTCCAAGGATTTATTAGAGGCGACATACCTGCCCTGCCCTGTATGAAACCAACTCTGGCATACGTAATTCACAGTCACCTGTGACCCTGTTTCCCCCTGCCTCCCCCCTGAGTGTCTCATAAATTCTCCAACTAAGCACATTCACAGGCTGGATGTCATTATTCATGTTCTCCAATTAAATATATTCGTGGGCAAAAACTCTGGTAGCTTATTTATAATCTTTTAAAGATAAGAGTTAGAATGTACTTTCAATTTCAACTGCTCTTCCAGATTTTCTTCCTCCCCAGCCTTTTTTTTTTTTTGTGGCAACTACTAAAACAGGCATAGGAATGTTTTATGAGTTGACAAACAGATTGGTCATGTGACCGACTTGGTTTTATGAATTATGTGGCGGCTTTTAAAAGCAAACCATTGTGGCCATTAAATGAATTGACAATCGTTAAGCAAACCAATTGTTCACTGGGGGCACAATTTCACTGAAACTCAGATGAGTGAGTTTGGGGCAAAAGTCACAACACGCAGTCACAGGATGCTGCAAACAGATCATAAATGCTGGCCTGTTGTCAAGTAGTTTAGTCGCCTGACCAAGGGGACGACCATCGTAACTTCGAACATTGGTTGTAAGTAACCCCAATGTAGGACCATCATAACTTCAAACAGTGGCTAAGCAATCGGCCGTAAGTTGAAAACTATCTTTATATATCCTGATTTACCACAATCATCCATTTTCAGCTAGTAACTGGAACCGCTCACAGAAAACCTCATTTCCTCTTTCTCCCCTCCCAAATTTGGCTAGTCAAGCAGTCACTAAGGAAAAACAGGCATGAAATGGAAACCCCGAGGGAGAGATGGATCTTTCTGGAAACATGAGCCCAAACGGTGGCCCCAAAGGCTGCCTTGTCTTCATTGTGTCTCCATGGAGCTAAAGGGAAGCAAGACAGCAATGGGCATTTCTCAGTTAATAATACACATCGGTCATGGATTCTGCGCTGCTACTCCATCTCTTTCTTTAAAGCATCAAGACACCTGCTCCCCAGAAGTGGCTGCCTGGATTCATTTTCACACAATCTGTGTTGACCTTCAAGTGAGGCTGGAGAAACGCCTGTGAAAGATTTCCACATCATGTCCTCCTGGAAGTCGGGAAACAACCCGATTCGCTTTGTGTTGATTCACAAATCTTGAGGAGAAAGAGGCCTCACCTAGAACAATGATGCTGCTAGAATCTTCTTCCATTATCAACTCCAAATCCAACATTTGAGGTTTGCCTCAGAAAACCATTTGCTCCTGTTGTGGGGGGGAAAAAGAGAGTCAAAATAATGACATTTTTAAATTGTTTATTTGGGGGAAATAGTCTGTACTGATTTGAGCAGCCAAGTATTTTTCCTGCCTACTCTATTCTCCAAGGCTAAAGTTTTTATTTATTGATTGATTTTATTTTGTCAAGCGATTATAAGATAACAGGTATAAGTATAAACATAGTTATGAATACATGAAGTGGATACATTTAAAAAAAAATAAAAAGAAACAATAGGACAGGGATGGTAGGCACGTTGGTACACTTATGTACACCCCTAGTTGCACAAGCTGGCTTTTTAGACCATACATTATCAAGCAGAGTTCAACCCTCCGTACTTGCCAAATTTCAAATAGGTTTTCAAATTTGGAAGAGTTACAACTTAACACTTATCACTTATGGCTGTCTGTGGAATTCTGGGAGTTGAAGTCCACACAGCTTAAAATTGTCAAGGTTGAAAACATTGCTGGATTTTAAAGAAAATTGTTCCAAAGTGGAGAGGCCACTGCTGAGAAGGTGTGCTGCCTTCTACCTGCTAGAAGGTAATATTTAAGATTGCCAAGGTTGAGAAATACTGATCTGGAAGGTCCTTTGGGCTCCAATATCTTCATACCTAAGCTAATCTCTCCCAGCAAGCCAAGCCAGGATGGCCAAAATATACACATTTTAGAAACATCTTTAACAACTCCTTCTCCTTTTTTAAAAAAAAAGCAGGCTTCTTTTTCCTCTCTGAAAAGTCACAAAAATCCTCGGAGTTGACCTCATATCTAATAAGGTTCTGCATCACTTCTGGCCTCTGATGGGCCTGTTGGAAGCAAAACTTCAAACAATAAGAGGGCAGGATAAAAATGGTGAAAATTTAAAATGTATTTCGACTTCAGTACAATTAAAATCAGACTGAAACTCTTCTAAATGACGGTTTGGTCTGTACTGAATCACCCCCTGTCCTTTTAACACAAAAGAGCCCCACATTATCTGGACGCAGCCGCATTTACTCAAAAGCTACTCTTGCTCAGATCAAGAGGGTTAGCACCCCAACAGTGGTGCTATGCAACCCCACTCAGTAGCTGCACAGTACTAATGCAACTAATTGTACACAGGTGGTTTCAAAATAACACTATAAAAAGAGAGAAGGCAGAATTTAAAGGTTAAATTCAAAGGGGGGTGGGGTGGACAAAGCAGCAATGGGGTTATGGATAGGTTTAGTGAAGACCCTGCCTCTAATCCAGCAGGAAATTTAGGGGTGACATGATAGCAGTGTTCCAAAATCTCCAGGGTTGCCACAAAGAAGAGAGTCAAGCTATTCTTCAAAGAACCTGAAGGCAGGACAAGAAAGCAATGGGTGGAAACTGACCAAGGAGAGAAGCAACCTAGAACTAAGGAGAAATTTTCTGACGAAACAAATGATCAGTGGGACAACTTGCATCGAGAGGTTGTAAATAGCAAAAGCAACAGCACTTAGACTTATATACCGCTTTATAGTGCTTTACAGCCCTCTCTCAGCAGTTTAGAGTCAGCATATTGCCTTCAACAATCTGGGTCCTCATTTTACCCACCTCGGAAGGATGGAAGTTGTAGGTACTCCACCACTGAAAGTTTTTAAAGAAGAGATTGGACAACCATTTGTCTGAAATGTGGGTGTAGGGTTTCCTGCCTAAGCAGGGGGTTAGACTAGAAGACCTCCGGGGTCCCTTCCAACTCTGTTATTCTATTCTAAATTTTGGATGCTGCAATCTTCCTTCTCCCTCCCTATTCTGTTTTACCTCTTGAGCAATCCTACTTGTCGGGCGTTTCTTCTCTTTCCCCAGTCGAATGTGCTTTTCACCCCCTCCTTTTTTCAACACCCCAAGCACTTTTGGGGAGAAAACAAACTTTTACAAATGGGTGAAGTTCCACCCACCCCACGCCAACTGCATCAGGGCAATCCCTACAAAGGACTACCCATCGTCAGGAAGAAGAGCGGTGAATTTTAAAAAGCTGGGGGCACCTGGATGGGAGAAAGCACTTTTAAGGAGCCGCTAATCCGGATTAAGGCATCCAACGCACGCACGAGCCCATTCAAACAGACCTGGGAAGAATCTCCCCTTCTCCTTTCTCTCTGGGTTTTAAAGGCGGCTTGTCCCTTGCTTTCCGCTTCCTATCATGTGACCGAAGCCCTGCCAGGAGACTGGCAAGGGCAGACCCAACTTATCAGCTGTTGGAGCGGATGGATGGAAGGATGAAGGGTCGGGAGCCTGGGGTATTCTAGCCGGCTTATAAAGGGCAGCAAAAGAATACTGTCCCGAGTACAGGTGTTGGAAGAAATATCCTTCTGGGTTCAGTTCCAAGTGGGGAGGAAGGGGTCAAGCTGTTTTCTAAAGTGCCTCTAGGCCAGACAAGGAATAATGGATGGAAACTGAACAAGGAGATATATTTTTTTTTTTTTTGGGGGGGGGGGAGTTTTATTATTATTTTTTGACAAACATAGACAAACACAACATAAAATCATCAAGCCATCTTCCACATATGTACATACAGTGTGTCGGTTGGTTTACAAATTGTTTTGTTCATCCACTTCATAGTCATCACTTACAATTACTTGTATATGTTCTCATATTCAATTCAATATCACTCACATCAAGGCACACATCTGGCCTCTCGTGACTGTGGGGATGCTGCAACAGTCGTTAAGTGTGGAAAATGATCATAAGTGAGTTTTTTCAGTGCCAATGTAACTTTGAATGGTCACTCCACACAAGCAAAGTGCCAGCAAAGGAGAGGGGGGGGAAAAACTCCAGAGACGTTCCTGAGACAGGAAGTCTAGTCCTGCCAAGAATGAAATAAGGGTTAACAGAGAGGCAGTTTCTCTAAGCAACACCAGAATGTTTCCTTCCTGCCTTCCTTACAGGATTAGGCCAGTAATTTCTTCTAACAACTGATTCTCTGAACTGCTTAGAATGTTAACAACCGGTTCTAGTGAATAGGTGCAAACTGGTAGAATCCCACCCTTGCCTATACCATTTCAGAAAAGTGGCTGTCCGGTCTCTTTTTAAAAAACCCCTGGTGATGAAGCACCCACAACTTCTGGAGGCAAGTTGTTCCACTGATTGTTCTCACTGTCAGGAAATGTCTAGTTAGTTCTAGATTGGATTTCTCCTTTACAAGTTTCTATCATTTTTTTTATTCTGCCTTAAAGAATAGGTTAACCCCCTTTTCTTTGTGACTGCCCCAGATATTGGAAGACTGCTATTGTATCAACCCTAGTCTTTCTCTTTGATAGACTGGAGATACCTAGTTCCTGAAACTGTTCTTCATGTTTTAGCTTCCAGTCCTCTAATCATTCTTGTTGGCTCTTTTCTGCACTGGCTGGCATCTCGTCCCATGCTCCTGACTATTTGCCACACTGGTTAAATTATTTTACAGTACTAAAACAGGTCTTGAACAAGCGTAAGGAACACTATACACTGATAAAAGAGGAACAACCAGAGGTAGGATTTACATATAATTGGAAACGGAGTGGTTTTCTGATTTGGGGACTGGCAGCTTCTAGCATCATCCTGGGAAACGGTTCCTTCTGGCTTTTAGATTGTCTGTTGCTTTTGTCATATATGGTTAGTAGGCTTTATGGAGTCTAATTAATCTACTTTTGTATTGTATAGGGGCTACTTGCTGGATATTCCATTCTTCCCTTCATGTCAGGTTCAATGTGTCCACTCTGAATCTTTGCAGAATAGAATTCAATTTCTATTCCTTTATTTGTGCTCTGCAGTCAATTCTTAATCAGATTTTTTTTTCTTTTCTATGGATGCCCATTTCAGCCAATGGCCTTGGGCTTCTTATTGGCCCATTCATACCCATTGCACTTCTTCCCCACTTTCTGGCATTTTGGAAGGAAGGGCGGGCCTTCATAGAAGGGTAATCACAATAAACACTGTGCAATGAATTCTTGCAATAGTCAGCCAGCCACGAACTCTTCCAACTTCTTCTCTTTTGTTTCTTCTACACCAACATCCTATTTTATTCCCCAAAGACAGTTTGATTAATAAAAAGGTTCTCTCAAATATTCAGAATAGCTTTTGAACTATTTCAAGCATTTTCAGCTCCTAAGCATAAAAATATGCGACTTCATAATGGGTGTGACCAAAAAGTGGCACCAAAAAAAGAGAATTAAATATAATTTGATTATGTTAAAGTTTTAACACTGCACGTTTAAATCTGAAGCCATCTGGAGCTTGAGGATCAGGACAGACAAACCTCTTGGTTCCTCTGCGTGTCTGGGCTGCTCCTGGTCTGTTGGACGTCGTTCTGCAATGTATCTTATGAAATATGACCTACTAGGAAAAGAACTGTCATCTATATAAGATTATCAAATCTTTATTACGGTGAAAGACCAACATAAGGTTCATGGGGTACATTTAGTTGTCTTTTTATAAAGAAAATAATTGAAGAATAATGATTATTATAAACAGCTAAGAGATATAAAAAAGGAAGTATATATAAAAACAGAAGTTTAAATAGCATCAGACACAACTGACAGGCGGAATGTTTTTTATCCACAAAAAGAAGACAAGAAAAGAAACAATCTTGAATTCTTTGGTGTCTTCTAAATTCAACAACATCAGGATCATTCAACTGCATAGCTAAATGCTTACTCCGAGTACTTTTTCTCTCTTTACTAGTAGGGAATTTTTGAAAAATCAGAGCCCCAATTTTAGAGCAAATCTGAACAGGGATTAAAGTTGAACGGATTTTTGGAGGTGTTAGGAAAAGATGAATCCCGAATACTCTCTACGTCTCCTTTCATTTTCCTCATCTTTACAATCCACAAACTCTAAATAAATCTGGGTGCTCTTATTACGTTATACAGTAGTACATTATTTATGATATGTAGATTACTAGGGCCTCATAGCAATCTTGACTATCATTCTATACCATTCTGCAAAGTCTCTACTGGCTAGAAAACTCTGGGGCTGAAATTTGGAAGACATCCAGATAGAAAACTCAAATTCTGCCTGGGGCATTTCTATGATCTATGATGATCAATATGCAAAACAAAAAACCAACACAGGCGCTGTTGTGTGGTAATTGCACTGTTTCTGCAAAACTGATTATCCACTACATGCTGCTGATAGTCAGATACAGGTAGTTAGCCTTCACAAAAGTAAAATTTTCCATTTTTCTCTCCTCCCTTATGTCCAATACTGAGACATGATTCACTAAAGAGAATAAGGCCAAAAATTAAATTGTTGATTTGCATTCCCAATGGGAAATCAGAAATGAAAATCAGGGTTTTTCTACACTCATCAATGTTTGCCGCATGTGGATTTTCTTGTGTGCCTTTAGGGATGAATAATGTGTGAAACACCGTCCACACTCTGGGCATCTGAAAGGTTTCTCCCCTGTGTGTAAACCTAAATGATTTATAAGTTTAGATCTAGTACTGAAACCTTTCCCACATTCCGGACACTCATATGGTTTTTCTCCTGTGTGAGTCCTATGGTGCACTACCAGATGGGAATTCTGACTGAAACATTTCCCACAATCCGGACACTCATACGGTTTCTCCCCTGTGTGAGTCCTCTGATGTATCACGACCTCAGAATTCCGACTGAAAGTTTTCCCACATTCGGGACACTCAAATGGTTTTTCTCCTGTGTGAGTCCTCTGGTGTATCACCAGATGGGAACTACGGTTGAAAGTTTTCCCACAATCCGGACACTCATAAGGTTTCTCCCCAGTGTGAGTTCTCTGGTGTATCACCAGGCCAGAATTCCGACTGAAACTTTTTCCACAATCCAGACACTCATATGGTTTCTCTCCTGTGTGACTCCTCTGGTGTAGCACAAGGTGGGAATTCCTACTGAAACTTTTTCCACAATCCAGACAATCATAAGGTTTCTCCCCAGTATGAGTTCTTTGGTGTGTCACGAGATCAGAATTCCGACTGAAAGATTTCCCACAACCTGGACACTCATATGGTTTCTCCCCAGTATGAATCCTCTGATGTAATACCAGTGCATAATTCCGACTAAAACCTTTCCCACACTCAGGACACTCATACGGTTTCTCCCCCGTGTGAGTCCTCTTATGTATCACTAGGTCAGAATTCTGAATGAAACTTTTTCCACAATCTGGACATTCATATGGTCTTTCTCCTGTGTGTGTCCTCTGATGTATTACCAAGTCAGAATTCTGACAGAAACCTTTCCCACAATCTGGACACTCATACGGTTTCTGTCCTGTGTGCATCCTCTGGTGTATCACCAGATTGGAATTCTGACTGAAACTTTTGCCACAGTCTGAACACGCATATGGTTTCTCTCCTGTGTGAATCCTCTGATGTATTGTCAGATTGGAATTCCGACTGAAACCTTTTCCACAATCCGGACACTCATATGGTTTCTCCCCTGTGTGAGTCCTCTGGTGTATCACCAGGTGAGAATTCCGACTGAAAGTTTTCCCACAATCTAGACACCCATATGGTTTCTCCCCCATGTGAGTCCTCTGGTGTATCACATTTCCTAAAGCTATTTGCCACATTGAGGGGTGTGGGTGGGCTTTTCTTTAGTGTGTGTCCTCTCATACATAATCAGCTGTGCTCCGCAATCTGTGTTTTTCTCTACAATATGCACATTGTGGGGTTTTTCCAAGTATATTTTTGGATTCTCAAGATCGTGCTTTCAGTCAAGCTACCTGCTTCATAGGGTAAAGCTTGACTGCCTGTCTATCTAGTGTGACTATCAAGTAACCACTTCTTCCTATACTGATTTCCAGATTACTTCACCTTTTTCTGATTTTGAAAATAATCTCCCTTGACCATTTTTGGAGTATTTGCTTGACTACTACATATTACATTTTTTCCAACTCAAAACTCTTTTCAAATTCTCTCTTTTGTCCTTCACCTGCCTGCAGAAGGAGAAAACTTTTGTAGTTTTCTAGCAGAGGCGGAAAAACACTTTCATTGCTGGCTGGATTTGCTTTCTTTTTAATGCTGCTTGGGATTCTCACTTGTTCCGGAATTCTCTTCCTAGCATCTTTTCAGTCTACAAGATTGACATAAAAGGGTAGTTTAAAAGGTTAGATTGACATAAAAGATT